GCTCGTGGCTCTGGGGGCTGGGGAGTTCAAGGTCCAGGTGCCAGCAGATCTGATGTCTGGGGAAGGCTTGTTCTCGGCCCGTCAGTGGTGTCTCCTTGCCGTGAGCTTGGCCCATCAGTGGTGTCTCCTTGCCGTGAGCTCACGTAGGGGCAAGGCGAAGGGACCAAAGCTCCCCCAGGCCCCTTTAATAAGGCTGCTGACCCCACTCACAGGGCTCCACATTTAGGATCTAAGCACTTCCCAAAGGCCCCACCTCGGAACACCAGCACAGTGGGGACTTGATTTCGACACACGGATTTTGGAAGGACACTAACTTCGGGCCATCGAGATGAGGATGTGAAATCAAACAAGACAGGAGTGCTTGTCCCTGGGAGTATAGTGACACCTCCCTGCCCAGCCGTTTTGCTCTCTCTCTGTATCTCTTTTCTCTTTCTTCCTCTCATCTCCTCCCATCATCTTCCTCCTCTTTAGAATCTTCTCTTGGGACCAGCAGTTAGCGTAATGGCTATGTCGCTGGACTCCCATGTAATCGACCACGGTTTGAGTCCCAGACCCCGTGGCTTAAACTCACGCCGGGCGTGTGTGCGTGCGTGCCCAAGATCCTGAGAGGAGAATGGAGGAGAAGGGATTGCGGTGTGGCCATCCCCCCGGGGGGTGATTTCTTGCTTTCTGTGTCTCTGTCGTTCTGGAGAGTACATGCACTCTATAGCAAAAACCTCTCCAAAAAAAGAAAAAAGAAAAAAGAAGAATCTTCTTACTCCCTCGTTTTTTATTCCAACTCAGTCAACCCTGCCCTGCCTCCCCAGGCACTGTGCTATGTTCCAGGGATGCAGATGAGAATAAGACGAGGTCCCGTTGCTGTCTCTGGCTCTCTCTCCCCTTTTCTTCTTTCTCTGTCATCTCTCCCTCTCATTCTTCTAAAACCTCACCACCATGTTCATGTCCCTTCCTGCGCCCGGTCTCAGGCTGCAGCATCCTCAACAAGAAAGGCGGTGTGCTAATTGCAGGCTCCCTGCGGCTTCCTCTGATGAAGGGGCCAGGCCCAGCCATGTCGCCAGGCAGTGCCGGAGCCTCTGGCAGGAACAGCTGATGCATGTAGATAGACAGCGGATCCAAAAGGCCCTTGCCCTGCCGGCCCCGGGCCCAGAACTGCTGATCAGCCGGATATGTCTGACTGCACAGGAGCAGCTCTGAGAGGCCTCAGCCCTGCGGGCAGCCAGGGGAAGCTGATGTGAGTGGACACATGATCAGGAGCAGAACGAGAAGCTCCCTGCCCTGGCTCTGAGCGGAGTTGCCTGATTGGAACGGACGTGCAGGGTCACTGGTCGGCTGGACCCCAGGGGTGCCCAGGGCAGATCAAGGCAGATGATGCACAGGTGCAGAAACCATGGCTGAAAAGGATGTCAGCAGTGGGGGAAGGCTGGGCCAGGGCTTTGCAAGAGAATCCTTGCCTGGGCTTAGCTTTGCTGAACTTTCAGGAGGTAAGGAAAAAGGCAACTCTGGGTTCAAATCCTGACTCTGCACACTGTGGTCGACCCTGTCTTTCCCCTCCCTACAACCCCTTTCCCCTATTGTCTCCTCTACCCAGAGGATGATGCCAGGTATGGGACATCTAGTCCTCTTGCTTGTGATTGGTTCCGCAGTGGCCATGTGATCCAGTGGTGGGAAAATCTGCCAGGGCTTCTGGGAAAGCTCCCTCTTCCTAAGAAGGGGACACCGGATAGTCTTTGCTGTGTCTGAATGTGATGCAGGGAATCCCTGTAACCCAAGACCAAGTCAACCCCAAGAATGTCAGATCCAAGTGGGAAAGAACCCCTGAGGTTGATGATGATATTGTGCAGCTGTGAGCTGTCTTACAGCTGGCGTGTGGCCCTTCCTTGGCTTTCTGGTCATGTGAAGTCATGGGTTTTGTTATTTAAGGGCACTGGAGCCTGGCTAAGATGTGTTATCTGTAACTTGCAGCCCAACGCATCCCAAATAACAGTCTAGAATACTAGTTAATTTCTCCACGCATCATCAGAGGCCATGATGCCTGTGGCCTCGAATTGCTGGGAGAAATCAGGATGCATTTGACACAGCCCCTGACAGGTAGGAAGCACTTGGTAAACATCACTGTGTCTATTACTGACACATCGAAAGTGTGCCAATCAAGACATTGTTTATAGTCAGTTACACTTGGTAGTTGTTAGGACCGTTTGCAAAAAGTATCCTATTTCTATTCTCCTTGTCTTATCCCTAGGGTAATGCTGTTGTACTTCCTGATCCCTTTCGGGGTGGGAGAAGCCATGGGACTAATTCACGCTGTCTACACAGGCTGGGGCTGCTCCAGCCACTGCTGGGTACTAGCATTGCCCTTAGCCAGCTCGTGAAGACCCCTAGTATCCGGCAGAGTGGGCTAGATATTGCCTGCTTCAATGGCACTTGGGCTGAGGTGCCCATGACCAAGCTACCTGGGTTCCAAGTGACCCAGTTCCCTCTCAACCCCCGATGTAGCCATTTCTCCTCAAGGAAACTATATGCTACCTAGGATCAGTTCGAGGAGCCAACATCATCACAGGGCCCTTCAGGACCTACATGGCCTGCAACTGCTTGGTCACTTGGGCTCCTCCCTAGATGACAGATTCTCCCTGGGGCCCCAGAATGTTCTTCATGCAACCCTGACTTTCCTGTAATTCTGGAAGACACGGCTCTGGGTTTAAGTCCAAAAGACAGGCAGACTTGGTTCGTGTGAAAAATCAGAAACAACCAGGAAATACCAAGTGTTGGCAAGGCTCTAGAGGAATCAGACCCCTGGTACGTCGTTGATGGGAACATAACCGGTGCAGTTCAGATTGGCTGTGTGGCCTGGTGGTTGAGGCAGCCAGATCCCACATGGCCAGCTCCACAGTTCTGAGTCCTGGACCTGACAGCTTGAAAATCTCACTGGGTGCATTTACTTGTGTGCCCAAAAGCCTGAAAGAAAGAGAAAGGATTGTGATGGGACTGTTCCCCATGGGGTGCTTTCACCCCTCCCTTTCTGTCTCTATCTCTGTGTCTCTCTGGCAAGTGTATGTGCCCTCTGACATTTAAGAAAAAAAAAAAAAAAAAAAAGATATCCAACTCTGCCCCAGAAATACCCAAACCCACTTCCTGCCTGGGCCCAAACCCCTTCCTCCTACTGATCACGGAGTCTGACGCATAGTAGGTGCTCCCTTCCCTTCCATAGTAGGTGACACCTTCCCTTCCTTCACACTACCTGCTCCCCGTACAAAGGAAAAACTTCTGGTAGCCTTCATAAAGGTTGCAGTTGGACCTCTGGACTGCATCATGCCTTCCACTTAGGGAGGGTCTTATTTGCCTTGTGCTCTGACCACAGCCTGCACTTGGGGATGGGCATTCCCTGCATCCTTGCCAACTTGAGGAAACCCTGCCCAGCCTCAGCTCCAGCCGGCCTCATCGCACCTTCTGCTGGCTCTTCCTGCCGTATTTGCAGAGCTGGCATCTTAATGAACTGTTTATGAGGGTCTTTCAGGCCTGGCTGGGATTCCTCAGCTGCAGTGAGCTCCAGTGGCCTTTGGTTTCCCCCCCATCGTGCCCCCAGTACATTCTTCTACCATCCTGGAGAGACCTATTCCATGGCCACTGGCCAGAGCCCCCGTACACTTCAGTTCCTGGGGCTGCCTGGACTGGCAGCTATTTTCAGGGTGTGAAGGGGAAGTGGGGGCAGGAACAACAGCTGTGGCTGTAGTCACCTCTGTCGCTCCCAGCCAGAATGTGAGCACCTGCTGCATGTTGGGCGTGGACTGGGGTGTATGTAGACGGCTGGCGGAGGCTTTGATCCCAGGGAACTCAGGGTTTCGGGAGGGGAAAAAGAAGGGAAGGAAGTTATTGTCTTCTGTGACACAGTAGCCCAGCGACATCATTTGCAGAGCTCAGTGCAAAATGAAAATGTGGGGCCCTTTGTTCAAAACTTAAGAATGCAAAGGAGTCAAGTGGTGGGAAGACGGTGATGCAATCGCACCCACAAGGGACAAGTCCTGGGTTTACCTCCTGAGACGTCCCCCGAGCATTCTGAATGTGACCTCCGTCTGCTGATTGTGGGGCTGGATCATGGTATAAAGACCGTGGTGGGGGGCTAGCAGGTGGTGTAGTGGTTAAGGCACTGGACTCCCATGTGGTTGACCACTGTTGGAGTCCCGGACCTGGCGGTTTGAAACACACCAAGTGCGTGTACATGGAGGAGAAGGGATGGAGGCATGGCCATCTTCTCTCGGGTGAGGGTTGAGTTCTTGCTTTCTTTCTCTCTGTCTCTCTGACAAGCACATACACCCTAGAACAAAAATCTCTCTCGCTCTCAAAAAACAAACAAAATAGAAAACTATCTTGGGGATGTTCGTGTCTCTGTCTCTCTCACTGTAGCTACCTCTCATGGCAGAAGTAAATTTTTTTTAAAAAAAGGACTCAAGATGGCAAGAGCAGAGCGTTAAATGAGCAGAACCCCTCTGTGGCACCAGGACCTGTGTGACTGCACTGGTCACCCAAGCTGCCCTGGTTGTGAGCCCGCGAACCGCTAACGCGGACTGAGCACTGACGACGTGCCTGCAACCACAGAGCTCAGGGGCAGGAACACACATGCTGGAACAGCCTCCTGGGTCAGATCCCAGCTCTGCCTCTTACCAGCTCTGACGTAGATCCTCCTGGGTCTCAGCTTCCTCCTCGGTAAATGGGCCAGTGGTGGGTGATAAAGACTGGACGCTAGCCTGGCACACTGTACCTGCTACAGAGCATTCGCTGTTATTTATTTATTTATTTTTTTGGAGAGGTTTTTGCTATAGGGCGCATGCGCTCGCCAGACAGAGACAGAGAGATAGAAAGCAAGAAATCACCCCCAGGGGGGATGGCCACACTGCAATCCCTTCTCCTCCGTTCTCCTCTCGGGATCTTGGGCACGCATGCACATGCACCCAGTGTGAGTTTAAGCCACTGGGGCCGGGACTCGAACTGCAGTCGACTACGTGGGAGTCCAGCGACATAGCCATTACGCTAACTGCTGGTCCCAAGCATTCGCTGTTATTTAATCTGCGTGTGTAGACTCAACTCATTTCCACAGCAGTGTAAGTGGAGTGGAGATTGTTAGATCTGTGACCAGGTAAGTTGGGTAATAACCTTGACCACTCAAAGACAAGGTCTGGGTTTGAAGGCAGATGCTCCAGCAGCTAGCTGTAGCCGTGATGTCGTCCTGTGGGAGGGAGAAGACAGGAATGAGGAACACAACAGGGGAAGCACCGTGTCCCCTTTCATGGGGCAGAGGGCCCTCCCTAAGGAACCCCACACTATTTCTGGCCCCAAGTAGGTGCTCACTCAATGCGGGGTGGAATTGAACAACCGATGTTCTTTCACCTCTCAGGAGTGTTCGATCATTTCCATTTTACAGATGGGGTATTAAGCTCAGCCTCAGGAGAAATCTCCCGGCCAGTGTCACCCCTCCGAAGGGCTAAATTGGAGACCTCCCTCCAGGCTCTCTCGGATTCTTTTTTTTGTTTTTTGGGTTTTTTGTTTTTTTTTTTTGAGAGGTTTTTTTTTTTTTTTTTTTTTTTTTTTTTTTTTGCTATAGGGTGCGTGAGCTCGCCAGACAGACAGAGAGAGACAGAGAAACAGAAAGCGAGAAATCACCCCTCAGGGGGGGCGGCCATGCCGCAATCCCTTCTCCTCCATTCTCCTGTTGGGATCTTGGGCACGCACGCACATGTGTCCAGCGTGAGTTTTAAGCCACCGGGTCCGGGACGCGAACCGCAGTCGACTACATGGGAGTCCAGCG